ACTGACGTAAGTTAATAACTGACCAAAAAAGATCTTGCTGTTTGTGAGTAATTGTATAATAGTTTAGGAACGCTGTTTATTAATTTTATTACATATCAATTTGTGTCTTGCCCCTGTGAGAATTAAGGATTTTTTTGTAAAAAATGTCTGCGTCCTATAATGACCTGCAACCATAACCGGCAACCCACTAACTAACCGGATTCAAGTTGATCAAAATTACGTCACGCAAAATTTTTTTTTGTTTTTTTTAATTTTTTTTAAATGCAAATAGAATTTTATTTTAACGTACTTACCTATGTAATACATTCAATATAACACATTAAAATAAAATTAATACTATATTTGCTTTACTTTAACATAAAATTACATTATTCAAAATCCAACTGTGGCCACTGATATTTTTGGCCACGAATTTAGTATTAAAGGGTATCACTTGTAATATGTTTTCGAATGCCGCTTTTACGTTTTCAAAAATTGTACCTCCATTTCTCATCTGATATTTCACCAACCATCGACACGGATGGTCATGATTTCCAAATTCTGTTCTATGGCTACAATATGGAATTCATTCGGACACAGGGCTTTGAAAATTCTTTCCGTAGCTTTTACATTTGGGTTTATGCAACAATTCACAACATACACGTCCCGTGGATTCAGTTTTATGTTGTTAGCATCAAATGTTACGTCCTTTTTCTCCAGAGTGGCAGGTTGGTGTAATAAGCGAGACACAGGTAGAAAAAAAATTTGATTTTTATCAATAAACAACTATTGCTTTTTATGATGTAGTATCAAAGTATAACATTTTTGTTTACTACGCTTTTAAAGAAAATAGAATTTTCCCAAAACCTAAACTAATAAAAAATCACTTTAAATTGGATATTTTATTTAAAAAAACGGGGAAATTTCAAAATGAAATATCAAAAGCGTTCATGAGAGCTTTGGTCACTACGCGTGACGCGTGTGTTGGCGAACACATTGGAAATTGCAGYTGGAACTGCTGCTCCTGTATCTGCCTGGAATTCTTGAAGGGTCATAGGCCCGTAACCGAATGTATTTGGAAATCTTGCTAGGACTTCTTGTCTGCATTGTTCATTGGAATCATTCATGATACAGCTATCTGTATGCCCCATTATTTTCGTAAGTATGGGATCATCACTTGTCTTTGATAATACCAGCTCTAAAACACTCCGTTGTTTTTTGCTGASGTTTATTTCACATTCGGATATGGTCATTTCTGCAGGGCTTTCTTCAAACCAGTCATCTTTGGGTGGAGTGTCCATTTGTATAATACGTACAACCATTTACGATTATTTTCTTCAGAGGGGCAGGTTGGGATAATAAACGAGACACACAGTTAGAAATAACCACAATAATTTATCAGTGTATAAATAATTAGTGTATAAACAATTAATCAGAGTTACAAAGGACTCAATAATGTTACCGAGACGTATTAGGCTATTCTCTAAAAATCTACTACAGTCTATAAGTTGGTGTATTCCATAGCTAATAGAGCTCAGAGCTTTAATTTTTTAAATTAAATTTTTTAAAGTCCTTATGGAATCGTATCAAAATTGGTATTCTTTAAGCGTCTATGTAAACTGTAGCGCTGTAATTACTCTAAAGTCTGTTTTTTTATTAAGTGGAAATGTCAAAGAGTCTAACAAATTTATTCATGGTAATTTTAATAAAGGAAGTTGGAAGTTCCAGTTTTTAATTTATGGTGCTATTCTGTAAAAAAAAATACGTGCTATAGCGCTATAACTCTTTAAGCTATCGGCTATAAGTAAAAATCGAATTCTCTAAGGAAATATTTCTCTATACTTAAAATTCTATAAGCTTAAAGTCTCTATAAAGTTATGGCGAGAAATTTGCTGACCGTAAAGACTTATAGTCTCTATAACGATATATTGTCATAGTAACAAAGTCACTCCTCAATAATTTATTATAAGTACTTCTCTCCGTATTTCGCCAGTGATGCTAATTTTTGTTCTCTTGTAATTATTGGTATCGTGTAAAGTTAATAATAAGTACATAGTTCAGTGATGGATCGTAATAATATTGCACTAATTGCATTATATTTATTATTAAATGAAGAAAAAAGAAGGTAATGTTGTGGACAATAATGAGCTTCTTACTACAAAATCTTTAATAAAAAGAGTGTCTATTTAGAAAAAAGTTATTTTGTAAAAGGTACAAGCAGGTTTTATGAAAATCGGTAATAAATTTTTGTG